GGGTCCCAGTAAAGCTCGGTGGGTTGTGCGTGTACTGCGATTTTCACGCAATCCTGTTGTTACATTGTATCATGGAGGAACTAACGGAATATGATGTAACCTCGCCGATTTTTTAATTTTTTAACGTGATCATATTATGTATGTCTATACACTTTCTCTGCAATAATATTTTTTAGAAGCCCTTAGGATTTTTTGTTGTAGACTCTCGAAATCTTGTTCTTGTTACAGTTGCTAATAATTAAAACATGTGAAGTAACAAGTTCATCTGTTGAATTTCCGGTTGTGAAATGCGTATTTTAACCCTCACAGCTAAACAAACCCAGTGTATGGTCGCGTTAAAAAAATGGGACCAAGAAATCGTCCAGGGCGATTTTTCGGCAGTTTTTAAATTTATTTTTTAAAATATTTTGTCGTAATTTATCGGACATTTCAATCGTTCCTGACGCCTAAATCAGTCTATTTAAAGTGCCTGTGAAATGGCTGCTATTTTCGCGCCTAAAATTATCAATTGATACATAAATATTATTAATTTTTATGTTTCTAAGCATGAATTTTTTTTTTTTAAGTGAAAAAATGTGTTTTAAACTCAGTCTATGGCAACTTTATTTTTGTGTATTTTAAAACGAGGCTCCTCATTAGCTTCTCATTTGCATACAGAAATTCCCCTTGTGACGTCAGAAGGGGAAGTCGCATGGCAGCTTGCATTGCCGATACGTGTAAATAAGGCAAATTTCTTGTGCAGTTTTCTTGTCTTTGACTATATTGTCGCTTATGTACTTGTTGGTCGAGGAAGAATGGACCACAATGAACACATAGTATCAATTTTTGATGCACGGGGTTTAGTTAGATGCGAAATATGTCCGTTTTGGTGTAGCTGGTCAACGTGATCGTCACCGACACCGGCGCACGTTTGTACACTGTTGTTGAAATAGGTGAACGGGTCGGGTCACGGCGAGGGCAAGTGCGTTAAAAGCGGCGTTTAATTGGATAACAAAAATAATCGAGATCGACACACATACAGATAAATTCAGAGTGGATTGGAGTTAGCTTGATCCATGGCATGATTGTCATAATTATAACATTGTATTAAAACTTTATTTGGTGGAAACACATTGACCAAGCCCGGATTCTTATTTCATAAATTATTACGCAGATCAAGCTGCAAGCATGGAGGTAAAAAAGAACAGAGGTGTGAATTTGACATTCAACACCAATTACCAAACAATTCAGAAACTTTTAGCCTTCGAAAATGAAAACAGTTAGCAGTGTATAAGGGCTGTGTAATTTCCTGTTTGTCCGACGCTTCGTTTTCGTGTCACTGTCAAAATTGTTGCTACCTTTTACTTAACAGGGACTAAATGGTCTCTATAAAACGATAATCAGAATCGCAAAAAAAGTCAACTGATTTGAAACACCGGACGTCTCTCTCTCTCTTCTGAAATCCGCCTCGGTGATCATGGGCTGGTCCGGAATCTATTTCTTTCAAAAGTGTTGCGCCAAGTTTAAGGTTAAGTGATGTCGCACCTTCGGATCGATTAGAAACGTGTGAATACATACACTATGGCTATACGTTTCACTGCAACTGCCCACAACACAACATCTAAAAACTCTCTCTCTCAAAAAAAAAAAGAAAATAGACAAAAAAAAAGAAAAAACGCCGACCGAAAAATGTATATCGTTTAAAAGTATACTGAACGACCAGTGTTATTACAGCTCAGGGGTATGACTTCCTCTCACATTTTGTCATTTGGTGGCGCACTTTCGGCGAGAGTCGGAAATCCGGAAACAGTCGACCGTTTCACGATAGGTGGGCGTGGCTACAACACGAAAAATATCCCAAATTTACTTGGATACGAGTAATCATTTGCAGCAAAAAAATCAATAACTACCCTTTTCAGTGGGACTCAGATCTAAAATGGGAAACGTGAGGGTGGGCATTGCACAGGCACTTTAAATCACGATTTAAAAACCCTGATAAAGCGGCTAAGACAAGCCTACGTCACAAACTGGTCAAAATCCCCCAAACATTGCCAGCAACCAATCACAGACTAGCTTAAACAACAGCTTTCCCTGACGATAATACTTAGCAACTTTATTTCCCCCACGCTAACTTGAAAAATCTTTTGTTTTTGTCTCGTTTCCGTTTCCGGTCTGTCTTAGAGAATGCTTTCAACTCACATCATAAGTGAAGGAAATAAATTTACTTGTGTTCTTCTTGGAACAAATATTCTGAATGGTTGTTTTTCGTGTCAATGCGTGGCTTTAGCCAATCAAAAGCATCGTTACATAGTATCACACAGTAAAATGAACTGTTTCCGGGTCATAGCTGTTTTCAACGAAGCAGACATTAACAAACTTTCAATTCGAATGAAAATTATTATTTTAAGTATGTATTTTGTTTTTTATACCTAATTCTATTATTTTTGAGAGTAACTGTGAACTGAAGATCGAAAATCTTCTATTGTGTACATTTTATTTCATTTGATCATCTTGCTTTATAGTGCCATTCATGCAAGTTTTTTAATGAACCAATTACGAACGTTTGTGCGACATCATACATTTTATTTTGCTTCGTCCAAATAAATATAAATCATAAATATAAATTTTTGCTAAAAATTAAATAAAGCATGTATGTATCTATTTGGGAAAATAAATTAACAAACTTGTTACGTCTTTTTCTGGACGCGATCATTACTTGTAAACAACTGATGTTGCCGCTTGAGGAATCATGCAGCTAAAATCAGCTGATTGTACATGCTGATGTTTACTTAATAATAGCTCTTCAAAATTCTCATTTATTTTGTAATAATAAATATATATTATGCATATGTAATGATATGTAGATTAATAGATTTTTTGGTTTCCATTTTTCAACATCCTTGCCAATGATGCATGTTACAAATGTGCCACACCCACTTCACATTGGCGCGCCCTGTTTAATTTTCAAACCGTGGAGAACCCTTATATGGTATAGGTTAAAGTTGTAGGCATGGGAAGGGTTTGGGGTACTACCTTGACATAATATGATAAATGGATACCATCTTCCACAAAATTTGGCAAAAAATGTATACCTCAGTCTAGATTTGTTATTTATTTCATATGGTACAAAATGTATGAGCCATTTCCGTGCCAAAATAGTGATTAACCTTTTCACCACCAGACTTTCTCACCCAAATTATTCTGTACTTTTTCTAATATTCTTCAATATTAATGGAAACGAACCCTAATTTTTAAGCCAACAGACAAAATTTGAGTAAATTTTCTGTTTTTACTCAAAAAAAAAAAAATTGGGGTTATTATTTCCCAATTTTCAGAAGGAAAGTGCAGACTATAAACTAATTTGTGAAGTTGTTATGAAAAGAGGGAACTGGTGGTGAAAAGGTTTAGGTGTAATGATTGCCTTCTTTTCAGCTGCAGGTGATACATGGATTATATACAAGAATGAATAAATAACACTTTACTTTAAAAAGAAAGACTGAAGCCTTTTTAAAACCCTATTGGGCAGTACACTAATATACTCTCAACACAGGCTGATCTTGTCACATTTTTCAACTTAACCATGAAAATCTAAAAAACATTCACATGCTCAGGAAAACACAGAAAATGGTAAAACAGGAGTGACTATTTTTTTTTACTCAAGTCTGTGATAACGTTGTACATTTCATATTTTTGTACATGAACACATACATTTTTTGCTTAGGAATGTTGTT